ATTCTTCTATCGCTTGCTTCTAGAAATCCGGTCCTCTCACTGAAATTGGACACGCTTGAGCACGTCTATTTCAATAAAATGACCATCATGTTGAAACCGAAGGATTTTCGACACAATTACACTTGCGTCTATTTCGATTCAGCCGGTGAGTTTAGAAGGTGAAACGGTTGCATTGACCGTAAAGTCTCACATGGGCTGGCACTGCCGTTTTTATACGAAGTGATATCCCTTCTTGTGCGATATCATGGCAGCTGCTGTTTCGCGTGCAGTTAGCGCTCCGAAAGAGTTATCACAAGGATGCTGACAAATAGACAGGGGTATGTGTCAAGAGAATCGTAATTCACTACAAGTGGCGTCGCGTGCGCTAGTGACGACGATTTCAGGTGGTAATGGTCGAGAATAGACAATGTATGACCAAAAATAGACATAAGTGTCTACCATGTCCTTGTCTACATGAAATCCGATGCTCCAATCGAAAGGGTAGCGCAAATTGAGGAAACATTGCTGCGCGCGATGAAGCGGCAATTTACGATTCTCTTGCCCGTCTCCCGAGCTGACAGGGCTCGAACCTGCAACTCACGCTTACCATACCTGTGGGCTAAAAGCCATCAAACTGAGAGGGTGGAAAGACGGCTCTGGTGGTGCAGTGGTTAGCACACTACCCCGATAACTAGGGTTCTAGATTCGAGTCTTGCCTGGACTGGTTTTTGATACTATACAGGTTGTGGGCTTACCTTGAAAGCTTCCATGATGTCGGTTTGAAGACACATTACGCAGTAATCGAAAGGAGGTGAAGTTGTTACTTAGACGTCTCCTGCCACTGGCGAAAATCTTCAAAATACGCTTTCCCCCCACCCTGGATTCCTCTCTCTGGTATGCCCCCTTCCCCATGCTATCTACCATATTATTAGCAGTTTTTTCGACTTCCTCCCATTTTTCCCACTTTTCCGAAATTAAACCACCGTTTCCCCCGGAAAACTACGTCGTCGGTCGGCGACGGTCCCTTTATCGCCAAACAGTTACTGGTGCGACTGTCGAGTATTAGTGAATGTGAGCTGTATCAACGGTCTTGATTGCGATTACCAACTAAGGGCGCGAGCTCCGAGGGAGGGGGGGGGTAACACACTTGTTAATGGAACAACTGAAAGAAGTCAAACGAATAGAAAAAAATGTCTTTTTTAATACTATCCTCCCACCCTCTGGCGACCAAATACGACGCCTCGCAGTAATTCCCCGGCCTACGACGTACCCTGGTTGTAACCATTGTGCCTTCTTCATTGGGAGCGGAGCACCTGGGTGGTTTTAAAGGTGGGTTTTAAGCGCGTGACTACATTAGGAAGTGAGCGCCATGATCGAGTTGGAGTCTCTCTCTGATTTTTCTGCTTTCTATTTATCGCGTGTAATGCGATTTGTATGCGATTGCATTGTTTATGAGTTTCAACAACTGAGGGACAAAACCCTAAGTGGGTTCTTTGTTTCGTGCTTCACACTTGCATGCGAAATTGTAAGTTTGGAAGACGTAGGTGATCTCCTCATACCTTCAGAAGGAGGCTGGTCGACACGAGGGTTACGCCGAATCGATACCAACTATCACGGACGTTTGTTACAATGCGAAGCGAACACATGGTGCGTGCTTTTCACTCTGTACCGGCGGTACGTTTTGCGATTTTGTTCACTCCCTTCAGATGGTCAGCTGAGTGTTCTCTTTAGGAGAGTATTTCTTTGCAACGACGATGATGCGATGCGAGATTCTGGGCGTGCTGTTGCCTACGGTAACTACGTTCATCTCGATGATATGCTCCATCTTCTTGCTTTTCATGGCAGCTGTGCAAAAGTGAGTCGTATTGGCGTATTTACCTGGCTGTCCCAATTTCAATGAGATGATCGATATGTAGTCGAGTGGACGCTGCCCAGGATTAACGCTGTTATAACTAAAGTGCCGGTTAGGCTGGTACGTGCACCTCCATGGATCCTGGTACTGCCATGTTGAGGTACCTGGGTCCGCAGCGGCAGTAGCATGTCACTTTCTTCGCTGAAAAATACACGAGAATGGGGGAGCATAGTGATACCTGGGTTTCGTCTCCCGACTTCTCCCGCGCTTCTTCTGACTTTGGGGATAGCGCGTGGGGGAGTATGGAACGGCACCTGGAATGCTTCCCTCCAGCAGGGAACGGTCCCGAGGAATAGGCTCGCTGCTGCTGCTGCCCACTTATTAACCTCGAGCACGGAAAGGAGCGTCCGGATGTGAGTGGGCAGTATGCTTTTACCCAGTGTGTGTAGATGGGACACCAGTTTAGCTTGTCTCTCTCCATAGTTTCATATAAAACGTCCACACATTTTCAGGAACCAATCGGTCGATCTAGCTCTACTAATTTACTTATTCTTTGTGTTCATGATTCTTGTGGTACATCTTGTGATGCTTGTCGCACCGCAGGTAAACGAAAAGTTACTTTGAAAATTCCTTGACAAACTTTCATTTTTATTCATGCTTCTGACACTCAATTTACAACAGAATTAATCATTTCTGCCCTACCGAAGTTATTGTGGGGCTTCAATGTGCCGATGGGTGGGCGCATTAGTTTTGGTTTGGTTGTAGGGCAGTGGTGCTCGCACTTGCGAAGCAGGCATTATGGGATTTAAGTGGATTGGCACCAACTGCCAACGGCAGCATCTCTCACGATTCACCAGTTCCTGTACAGGGGGGGGGCAAAAAAGACACTGGTCGAGTCACATATCAGCAAAGTTTTCGCAGCCCAGACAGAAGACGTGGATACGAGTACCAGGGCGGAAGATACCCAAGATGTTCCTCGATAAGCAGGAGCAGGCTCTCGCCCATCACCTTCATGTACACCAAAATATGAAGCCATCTCCAATCGCAGCCGGAGAGAGAAGGCCTTTGGAATTCACGTCACCTCCAAACAGCTGCGAAACTTCTTGTATGGAGTCACCCATGGACAGCTACCTGGGACCGGTACTCTTGATCTGGAAGACCTCCAACATCGAGCAGCTCCGACAACGTCGCCACGGTCCAGGATATCATCTTCACCGCAGTCGCCAAGGCGCGGGTTGATGGTATGGACCGGAAGTTCCTGGAATGGGAAGACCGATATTTTCTTCGTGGACCCCGGACTGAAGGAACA